ACCTACCGCCTTTTTCCACTCAACTGCCCTTTTTTCAACGTGCTTACCCCCAATATTTTTAAAGAGTGCCCTTTTTTTTACGAAGTGCCCTTTTTTTCTTAACAAGTGCCCTTTTCAAAAAAGATGTGGTGACCTTTTTTGTGGCATCTGCCATTTTGGGTGCCTTTTTCAGAAGTTCTCACAGTATCGCCCTGAAAAGCACCATATATTGGCCCCGTTGTGTGCAAAATTGTCGGTTTTGAACAGCACCCCCATCTACAGATGGTACCAGCCCCCCCCCCCCCCCCCCTTGATTTTACGGAGGCCAAGTGTCCGGAGATAACAACCTGTCTACATTTCACAACGGATGTGCAAGTGCCCTTTTCAAAAATAAACCCCCCCCCCCAATAAAAATGACCGTGCTACGCCCCTGGTTAAGACCAAAGACCCAGCACGGCCCTCTCCCGAAAGGAAAACAAACATCACTGAGACAAGTCTACTGATTGGCGATTGGGGGCGCCATTCACTTTACACGTGTGTGCCGTTTTATTATTTTTTTTAACGCGCTGTCCTTATTTTGATCCCGTAAAAGTGTTTACGAATTCGCGGTGGAAATATCGTCCTTCAACTTCATTTTGTGTTTGCAGCAGTAGAATGGGAACCAGACAATGGAATTTTCATTGACAGAGCACCATTAGCGAAAAAGATTGATGATAAATTAAAAGGAAAACAGGATTGCGGATGTACCTTCGAGTTCGTGCTAAAATGAAATGTTAATACACTACATGCAGTGCACATTCGAGAAATCGTACGCTGATTTTTTACGACTGAATGCACTTTCACGAAAAAAGAATTATCATTTGTTAAATAGAAACAGAGATTAGGAATGTTCATTCTATTTCGCACGAAAACGAATGCTTCTTTTACAAATTCGTGTACACAAAACGCAATTGTCCGGGAAAACCTATATTATATTATGATTAAATATTTTGTCCAATTAATAAAGACAATCAATCCAAGACTGACGCTTATGCTCCACTTGTGCATTAAAAAAAGTTATTTGTAGTATTCTCGTGCATTAAATAAGCTGGAGAAACGTGCTTGGTGCTTGGATATCGTGCCTGTTCCAGTTCCAAAAGGTTGCTTTGGTCACGTGGCGCGAACATTCAGAAATCAAGATTTTTTTTGGTTTATGGGCGTTCTTATAAATTACACTTCACAACATTTCTGAATCAAAACTCAAATAGCCTAAAATAATTTACTCACTTGTAATAACGTACAAGTAATACTGCAAGCAGATTGGTGAAGTAATTACTATTCCATAACTAGGACTACATGATTCGGTGCAATCGTTGAGTTGTTACAATTTGAAATAAATAACACTTCACGAAATGTCTGAAAATCAAAAGTCAAGTAGGAATCTTTTATAGGTTTTCCCGGCTATTTCCCGTTTTTAATATTCAAATTCGTCCATCAACATCGATTAAGTGCACTTCTAATGTTTAATTTCGTCTTTTGTCATATCATTTCAGTTGTTGTTCAATCGAATTCAATCCATGAACACCCATTTTCGGCGAGGAGTATTCGATTTCGTCTCGTCTACGCCGAACAGTTTTATTCAGAAATAAAATTCGTCTTTTGCCACTGACACCATTTAATGATAAGTTCGTTCAATTTCGTAACAGTCCACTGCGGCATCCTCCGTAGAAGGCATAAAGGTCGCAGATGAGGATATTTTCTCCACTGGTTTTCTGTTATTTCCCTGTTGTTCATAAATATAGGCGTATTGCTTGTTTCTTTTGAATCGAATTTCTTTATAAAAAAAAGTTATAGACTCATTAGAGGTACAATGTAACAAAGGAATTTTTTTTTTTTTAACATGGTCGTCTTTATTTTTTTCACTCGTTAAATGCCCAAAGTTGCAGCCACTTGGATGTAGTCCATGGCACCACGTTAATTCGTATCCTGTCCTGCTTCGAACTTTGTTGTATGGACCTCGGGCACAAGGGAAATGGTAAATAACACACGCCAGACTAATTTACTTAACAACAGTTTTAAATTGATTGGCATAAGACGAATTTAATCTCTGAATGCTGCCATTTGGTAACAGCTCAGACGAATTTGATCGGCAATGACGAATCATTATGGACACTGTGTTAAAACCATATACTGTTTTAGGAGAAAACCCGAGGAGAAGTATTGTCCGGGGAAAAAAAGAAAGAACCAACAAAAGAAGATTTATGAGAACAATTCTAGACAGTGGTCGGGTTGTGCCCGACCTCTCAAAGAAAGAAAGAAGATTAATCGTAACAAACTCCAATCGGTGGTCGGGTTGTGCCCGACCACTCAACAATGTTCGGACAGTAAATGTGTTTGTGTGGAAGGATATAGAAATGAAGAAAGGGAGATGTTCAATATATTCTCATGGCTACACATATATCATAGCAAAGAAACTGTGTATGTTAATTTTTCACCGTAAATATAAATATAAATAGATTTTCCCGTTCAATTTCGCAACTTGTTCATTCAATCCGTAATTGTTCATTCCGTTTTATGAGGTTTCGGTAAGTTTGGTACGAAAACGATTTGTAAACTGCAGTCACAGTATGTGATTCCGTTTGAATATGTTCAAATAAACGTGTGGTAAAAAAATGTTCGTGCAAGGAAACTCTGAATCCGTTTCGTTTGTTATATAGCCTAGTTTTCTATTTACCACCAAGTCAGACGAGGAGAATAAGTCATTACTGTAGTTGAGTTTCGTCTGTCGGCGCCCCAATACCTGTATATCTACTAGCACAGGGCAAATTTATGTTTATTATCTAATGACACGGGTACGAATGGGAATCGACGTACATGCATGTTGGGGTTGGGGTTGAGGATACACAAACCGTCCCAGCAAGGGCTACATGTACTTCATAAAAATAGTCATTTGGGAGGCTCCTTGCTCGCAGCTGAGAAGCTGAATTGCGAAGGACCCGGTGTCATGCCAAAAACTGTCCGGTGCCAAATAGAGTCCGCTGAGCATGATGCACAATATAGACGCATGACAGTGTCTGTGCGCTGTCGTTCATTGCAGCACGGATTTCAGTCCGTTCTTACCGATACTGCTCGTCAATTTCTTGCCAAATACTGTATAGCCTAAAACGATGCTCAAAAATGTGAGAGAAACCGTCATTTTGCAGCCAGAGGAATTGCATTGACTACTAGTACTATCGTATCGTGACCTGACACGAAAACACAAAGCTTTTATTTTTTAGCCGAACGTGAGTTTAAATATGTTCGAAATATCAATTCAAACCAAATTCTACAATCGGTTTAATAATGAACAGATAGAAAAAGTTATACACTTGAAACAAAATTATTATACGAAACAAATAGGCATGTTTCAGACGTCGTGCTTATGCCGTGTCGAATAGAAATAAACTTGAATTTTCTTTATTCGACACGGCACAAGCACGTCGTTTGAAACCGCGCCGTTCTATACTGCCGTGCTAAATTGCACGGCAGACCCTGGTCGAGCTAAAGTCTTCTGCCGAGCCGAAATCAATAATTGGGTTCAAACGTTGTGCCGTGTCGAATAAACAATTATTTTAGTCCCACGATTTGACCTTGGTGATATGTATGTGGCATATTTTCGAGTAGTATAATAGGGGTGTAAGTGGCACCACCACCGTCAAAATAGTACGCCCCCGAAGAAACCCAGTTTTTTTTGCGGCCAAACATTTTGGGCAACATTTTTTGAATTCTTTTTTTGAGCTCCCCCAAAGCCAAATCCTGGGTGCGTCACTGTGCCAATATGCGCTTCGTTAGCATTGTTGCCCCCAAATCGGCCAACCTGAAAACCTGAAAACCATAGGTCTACAGTTTGGTCGGCAAGAAAATTACTCGTCGCAATTTTGCTTAGAGATAGTTCAAGGTGTAACACAAGCGTTTGCAACAACATATTCAGCTGAAATTCAGAATATGTAACTAATTGTGAAATAACAACTTGAAGGGATTCCTAGAAATTGACATAAATACATATAAACATTATTTGGGGACGTTTTCGAACGATTTCTTCCTTACTTTTAAGGTCAGCTTTACCAGCAACCAGTATGACGTTTCGACATCGATGACGGTGATTTTTTTGTTCACTGACATGAAGTTTAGAATACAATTTATGGCGTCAGTGCGACTGACGCCATAACCTTAGCCACGGAGCACAACCAGAGATCGAAAGTGTACATCACACCCTGCATGCACAGTGCAACGGGGCGTTCGAACAAAACAAAACCAATTACAATGTACCGACTTCGATTTGATAGCACCGAGCAGGTAAACTTGGTGGAAGTGCAACGGAATTAGAAAAAAACTGAATTTTGCATTTGCATTTTGCAAAACGTTAATCGTGTTGGCAGAAGAAAAAAAACATCAGTCAGGCGCGGATCCAGAGAGGGGGGTCACCCCCCCCCCCCCCAGCTCTGTCCAAAATTTGTTTTTCCCATAAAAAAAAAAAGCGACCCCCCCACACCCAAAATTGTTTTGCTAGTACATTGTAATAATGTCTGCCTTGCACAAAATACGTACAGAGCCAGCTTGGTTAGATAGAGGGTATGAGCCTCATACCCTCTATCTAACCAAGCTGGCTCTGTACGTATCATACTACGTGTATGAGGGTACATTTCAGATTTTTGGCCGATGAAAACCCCCCCCCTTCCAAAAACTCCTGATCCGCCTCTGATCAGTTTAACACAAATTGCATCACTTTAAAGGGACACTAGGTCCTGAAATCCCCGAAAATTTCATGTTTTTGGATTGTTTACTTATCAAATTTCAAACATCTGGTTGAAAGGAAACCAACCTTATGTCTTACCGTTCCAGAGAAAAGACGAAAAATCCTGGTTGTTTACATCGGACACGACGAGTACGAATGCGTTTTTCCTGTCGTTCTCACGCATTGTGTGTGACGTCTACGTCTGTGCAGACAGCACCGCGCTCGCGAACAGCGCGCGGTCAGGCATGTACAATCACCAACGCAAAAATGTGGTTTCTTACACGTCCGCAAAAGGCGAACACTTTAATCACAACTAGCACGTCACAAACAGCTCGACTTTTTGAAGTCGCACGACTTTTTGGAGTCGCAAAAGTGGACCCCTGAAGTCATTCTCGCACGCATAATACAGGAATAACACAAAAACGCCCAGTTTTTTTAAGCATAGTTTTAAATGTTCTTTCCGATTAACATCATTTCGTTCAAAGCGCGTTTTGTAACCCAATTGGGCTGTTCCAGGACGTAGTGTCCCTTTAAATTTTTGGTTTTCATATTGTATGAAAACAATGCACAGGTATAGGCAGTGGCAAAAAGGCCCATTTTGGAGGGAATTTGAGTGAAAATTCTGTCTGATTACAATAAGTTGCAAAATCGAATAGCAAAAACCTATAATTAAACCAAAAATAATTATACATGTAAAAGCGAAGGAAGAAAAACAGGGAGTGCACTGGCTACTTTCACCGTTTCCAATTTTCTTTTTGGAGGCGCAACAATAGCAAATCAAACTTGCCACTTCTTTATACACATTTGAAAAGTAACTTTTGAAATTAGAATAATCAATAAATAAGAAGGTATGTGTGCTCTTTAGTTTTAATACATATTTGTCTTTTGTCCAGCTTTTAATAGGGAAAAAAATTAACAAAAACATTACAAGAATCAGGAGAAACAGTAAGAACAAATTGACAGCTGGTCAAAAAATTGCTTTGTAATGTCATTCTTTCATGTGAAATACTTCCGGTGTCACTCAATATTCTATACAATATGCATATAGTAATTTCCTAGACAGAGTACCACTTACACACATGAAATCTACAGTGTTAGTCTATTTTGTCTGGCATCATTCCTAAATGTAAAAGGCCCGTACAAATTTGTTATTTTGTGACTGTTTGATTTCCAATCTGCTGGAATTTTTTCTGTTATAGATTGCTCACGCGAGGTTTGTGGTTATTCAAACCATATAACCCTGCTGAAGCCAACAGGATCCAACTATGTCACATACCTGATGGAGCCTGTTGGATTGAGCAGTTAACCCCTTGTGTACCTTCCTCATGCAAAATGTTGGATTCAAGCAGGCAACTGAACTGCATTATAACGCATTGTTGGACTCCATTGGATTCAGCAAACAACTGAAAATGAGGCACAGTGGATTGAACAGGAAAGTCCGGTTGGACTCTGTTGGATTTAGCAGGGTAGTCCTGAGGAAGTACTAGGGGGTTAGGGTTAATAACATATTGAGTGGAGTACCCTTACGTGACAGACTTATATGTATTCTTGACCGGCAAACCTCTTTGTTAAGAACATTAAAATGTATTCCCTTAAATACTGGTACCTTGACCTTAATCATGCTTGCTGGTGAACCAATTTCAGTGTCATGAAATTTAGTCCAATTTTTTTTTAAAAGGTGGCATCCGGAATTTGGGCACAAATTCAGCCGAGTGTTCTCTATAAACATGAGTACATGACGCACTTGAACAAATCTCAAAATATTTTTGGTAACATTTAACAATAAATTTATGTAAAGTTGATCATTCTGACTAATCATTATAATCTCCACTTGCACTCCAAACTACAAGTTTGTCAAAAATTATGTTTCTTATTTTTTGGAGCATTTTAAAAGGGTTCATTGTGCACTTCAAAATAAACTCGGAAAATCACGCCAAAATATAATTTCCCTAAAATTTGTAACAAGCATGCAAACTCAAGATTTATTAATGAGAAAGTTTAGAGCTTGATGACATTTCACTTAGTGTTAAATTTGAAGCAACTATTTTGCTCTTGCAGGGCACTAAAGGTGAGAAATAAAAGTATGCCATGTAAGGGTATATCAACTATATAATTATGTGTAACAATAGTGACATTCTCAAATAATCCCTGTGGTAAGTCTCTAAATCTAAATATAGTTCATAGCACAAAATGTTATGAATGTTAGAGAAACAGATAAATGTATGTAAAACACACAAATTCAAACCTATGAAGAAAATTTGTTTTCACCACCAGAAAAACCATCTGGACCCATGCTTAGGAGCTGGCGTACTGCCTGGTTCAATTTCAGGCAGATAGGTTGGTTCTGGCTTGTGCCTTGGCATAGGCTCTGGCAGTGGTCTGTCAGTCTTTACAACGGTAACCTGTTAGAATCAAGCAACATAAATTAAACGTCAGTGATGAGACTTTGTAATCTATGACCACGTGATCAAAAAAGTGAATAAACTTAATCATCACGTCATAAACTGAATAAATTTAATCATCTCAAAATAAATGCATTACTGAGGCATAAAACTGCAGGACACAGACCTTGGATAAACTAGAGATTCGGTTTTGTCGAGTTGCAAATGCACGGCACTGACTGGGAAGAGATATATTTCATTGGACGTTACCCAGTTAAGTTGTTTAGTTTTTTATGTCAAAACAGAATAAATGAAACAACCTCCTGAGTAGAAACATATTTTGTTGTTATATGAAAACAAGTGATCCACGGGTCGCATGTGTCACCTTTTTCCGAGGTTGATACCTATATGTGTTGTAAAACTGTCCCTATATGTTTTTTTTTCCTTAAAAAAGGTCAAATTTTGTACTTTTTGACTTTGACCTCCGATTTCGGAAGACTTGTGATGAACCCCCACCCAAGGATCACTCCATCCAAGTTACATTAAAATCCAACAAATTCTGTACACAAAGAAACATTTGAAGCATATTTGCACAATGACCTCTAATGACCCCTATATGACCTTTGACCTCAGTAATCTGATGAAGAATTGTGTCTTCCCACCAAAGGGTCACTGCATCCAAGTTTCATCAAAATCCACGAAAGCATACAAGTTACACAATGTACATGTTTTTCATAACTTTAACATACGGGTCTACGTCATACGGCTCTATGGTCATACTGTACGTCTTAGGACTTGTTTGTCTCCTAAAAACTTCATTAGGCGACACAAAAAGAGTGTCTTTTGTGGTATATATACATTTCATTTTTCGGTATACATTTTATCTACATGTAAATGTTATTTCTGGTTTAATGAATCATGGGTAAAAATGTGCAAACTGAGTGCTGATTTAGTTCAGAGAGGATACATGTTCACCACACGGTGGAAAGAACTTTTGACAATCTATAGTGAATGTTTGAAGCTGCTATAATTAAGGACACAATACTGGCAACCAAAAGTAGGACATTAGAGATCTGAAGCAAGACGAAAACTGCATGCTGTTAATTTCTCTTAAATTATTGAAAGAAACATCCCTTTAAGTGGAAAACAACATGGTAAAGATAATAGGCCAAATATTTTTCACTGCAAGGCAGAGTATAATGGTGTTTTGGACTGTTTTTGCACTTCTGATAATACCTGAAGTTTGTAAAAGTCAAATGGCTTTGTGCCTAGAATGTACATGATACATGTAGTTCAAATTAATTCTAAATACAAATTTTGGGCATAATTGCTTGTAATTTGATACCTACTTGGAAATTGTTTTCACATCTTTGGACCAGAGTTCAAGTTCGTATCAGGTTTTATTATCATCCCAAGAATAGTTTTGAAGGAATTACATGTACCGGAAGTTCCGTTTTTATTTGGAAGATTCTGTTTGTATTTTAAATTCATCTAGCTTTGACCTTCCCCTGTTCTGGTAGCCCTGAAAACACATGTAAAGGTCAAGCGATTTCACGTACACTACAAAAAAACTGTTCATCACATATGGACATGATTGATCGTCTTGTTCAATAGTTACAAGTGGCCTACACATGTAACCAGTGTTGTGGTCGAGTCACCAATGTCGAGTCCGAGTCCCGAGTCACAAGGACAAGCCTCGAGTTCAAGTCCCGAGTCACAAGGACAAGCCTCGAGTCCGAGTCCGAGTCTCGAGTCACAAGCCTCGAGTCCGAGTCACACTTGTTCTTAGTTGTTCACCAAACTAATAAAAAAAAATTTGAACTTATTTGTCAATCATCCATTCTGTCTTTTAAGTATATCCCTGTGTATATAGTTTATCTTGTGTGTGTACATGTTGTCTCAATGTGTGTGTACATGTTGTTGAGACTCAAATGTGTTTTTCTTTTAATTCCCAGTGTTCAGTGCATGCCCTTACTTCAGTCTTCCCCATACTGCATGAATATTTCCTGATTACAAAGGTTGTGCCAAAATTTTGAACACAAGGTTAAAGTTTTGACTGATTTTGGTGGGGGCATTAAAATAAAATCCCAAATTTTAAATTCGTATTGGTGACACTTATTTTTAGTTTCCCATGGTTTCCCAAAATAACAGGATATGTAGATGTACTAGGCCTATCCGGTGTAATGCAAAGTAGTGTCCGCCAGTGTTGTAGTACTCGTACTCGGTACTTGTACTCGAGTACTACTCGAGTCCTCTTTTGGGAGTACTCTTACTCGAATGTCAAAGTACTCGTACTCGAAATGACGGTACTCGTACTCGGGGAGCAAAGTACTCGTACTCGACAAGTCGAAATTGTACTCAATCATCAAAGTACTCGTACTCGAATAGCAGTACTTGGGGGAAAATGGTGTAGCTTGACTATATACCACAGACTTATTTTATCGATACTTTCAGTTTCAAATGTTTTTTTGGCTTGTGGAGAAATCAAAGTTTCCTGATTTTCCTTTGTGTACGTCTGGACAAACACATTTAACAGCTAGCCGTGAGTGGGTCTGTATATCGGTCTGATTGGGCCTGGGCCAATTACGCACAATGAACCATTTGCCGTATGGCCGTATTTGGAAATACAAGTACTTGTACTCGTACTCGGAAGTACAGTACTCATACTCGTACTCGTAAGTACAAGTACTCGTACTCGGAGACCTGTTCTTGTACTCGGAGGTACAAGTACTCATACTCGTACTCGGTAACCTAAGTACTCGGCAGTACTCGGTACTTGGAAAAAAGTACTTGACTACAACACTGGTGTCCGCCTAGTATTAGCATTGTCGAGAATATTGCACTATGGACTACAGCGTGCGTCCGGTGTGCAGACACTCTTCGGTGCCGAACACTTTTTGGCAGGACACCGGGCCCTGGTGCTCATCGTGCAGGCGCTAGGCGTGCATGCGCGGCCCCTGGATACGATTTTCCGCGGTGCCGTGTTTTGTCCATGGAGTCAAAACGAATGCTATGTTCGTCGCACAAAATACGTGACGTTATGCTGTTTCTTTTGATGAAAATACCTGACTCGAGTCACGAGTCACCATACTCGAGTCCGAGTCATCATGGTCATCATTTTCCAATGTGACTCGAGTCGAGTCCGAGTCACGAAAAATGTGACTTGAGTCCAAGTCCTAGACTCGAGTCCTACAACACTGCATGTAACTCCCTAGCATGATTTACTAGGAACCATACCCATTTCAGTTCTAACACCGTATGGGACACTGCACTCACATATTTCTGGAGGTGTGCCAACCCAACGTAAAAGACTGTCAGTAGGGGTACTTGTATCCATCCGGACAGCTTCCAACAAAACATGCCGTGTGGGTTTGATGGCCAACTGTTAACTGTTCGCTGTCCTCTCCCTCTACCGAGCCTGTAAGGTTCCTTCCGTTTGTAGAATACGGAGCTTGTGCCAAGATGGAAACTTCTTTACCAGGCTGTATCTTCAGTGGGTGACTCCAAATGTACCACATCTCAATTGCCTTATCTCGCCATCAGTCTTAGCAATGTCTGCCCCACCCTCATTCATAAACTGGAACACTTAAACCCATTGACGAGAAAAATTCCAGCTCTTTTCCATGAATTTCCGTCCATGTGCTGACTTCAGCTGGTCCCGACTGGCCCGAGTTAGGTTGGTTCTGAAGAGGACTGGGGTTTCATGCGTAAAAGGGGTTGATGGAACAACAAAAACTTAGACTTTATGAATATGATGACCCAACATCTGTATCTCTAGCACAATAACACTACTGTGTGGAACAGACTGCTCTCCAACTCAACTCATGGACAAGTATGGACTCAAGATAAGATGCTTTGCTACAAACTCATCTGTTACCGTGGTCACTTGGGATCCCGTGTCCAGCAAGGATGCACAAAGAACTATGGATATTCTAACACCTCTCGGTTAACCAGCCCAGACAAGGCTGTTAAGTTTTCTACATCGTCGCCTGGCATGGTAGAGACTTGTTGAGGGGAGTGGAGACAACAGGGGTGGGATTAATTGGGAATTTCCTCAACGAACCCGCTGACAGCCCTATATCTGCAGGTTTTGCTCATTTTAACGAGCCTAACTGTGTCAGTGTCTGGTAGATCTGTGGTAGATCTCTAGAGGCTGGTGCTATCATCTGTTGGTCCAAACCCGAGGGCAGTTCCTCGCGAGATGCTATTTGCTTCCACAGTATTTACATCGTGTGTATGGGGGTTTACTCTGGTGGGGCTGACTCATCAACTGAAGCTGGAATACCACTTTTGCCAGATGCACTAGGCGCTATCCATGTTGTCGTTGCTCTTGGAGCACTTGGCCAATTGCCTTCACCCCGTTGTGACATGTTGCCTTTACAAATGTATCTCCTCCACTTGCTGCATAATGCGTTGCTGCAGGGTGGACACTGCATCATCTCTTGGCTGAGGGGACACAAAGGAGCAAGCCTCTCCATGACTCTTTCGTCTTACAGCCCAGCCATTAACTGAGTGGTGAGAATCACATTCAGCTTTCCACCAAGAATTTGTGACGGCCTTGCTTCTGTGCGCTCTCCTCAATCCACCTCATTAGTGCCTCCAGCGCTATGGCGTACTCAGTAGAGTACTTGTACGACAGGACATCAACGATTCACCCCTTTTCTGCAGCCAGCCGATGGAGTCAATAATCTTGTCAACCAGAACAGGAGCGTTCTTCGAGACATCATTGATAATCATGCTCCCCTTGTAAACCGGAACATCGTCCTACGCCCCCATGCCCCATGGTACACTGAGTCTATTCACGCTGCAAAACGGGAAAAATGCCGAAGAGAGTGCCTTTTTACGCATTCAGGGCTTACCGTTCATAAGCAGTACTAACAGGAACAGTGTGATCTCTACAACGCGATGCTCAGCAATGCCAAATCCTCGTATCATCAACTGGAAATCAAACAGGCTGACTAACATGATCTTTTTTGTGTTGTGAACAAGCTGACGAAACCGAGTCTGGACCCTGTGCTACCTGATCATAGTGATCCAGGCGACTTAGCTGATCGCTACATGGACTTTTATCAGCAGAAGCTGAGTGACCTGGGTGATCACAACTGAGTAGTCACAACTATCGATTTTCAGATAGTCGAGTAGTCGTCATGCGGCGACTATTGTCAAGCGAGTCGTGACTAGTGCACCGTGGCAATAGTTTGCGCCGCGACTATTTGTTGCGTTGCGACTATCAACCTGCCCTGCACCACCCACCGTTCAAATTCTGAGTGACCAGTCACTATACTGTACACCGGGCACACGTAGAGACACCTACAGCCAGTACTTACAGTTTCAACAAAACACCACACACAACGAAACACTCACTGAACGCTACAATGTACATGTACATCGTACACATGTACAATACATCGCGATAGTGCGTGCACTGCACACCTGCATTGGGGCCGGGGTCACTCATGAACGATGAACGGCGCACGTGTTGACTGTTGAGTGCCGATAACTGTACACAATGAACTCGGCGCACATGAAGGCCGCCAGACACACAAAACAATGTAGGCCTACACATACGTATGTCTCCATTACATTTCCACAGGTTGTTGGTGAAAAACTTTCGTCGTGTGTTTCTTGAATTAAAAAATAAAATATCAGACAGCTGCTTGTTTGCTTGAGTCCTTTTATTTTTCTTGCGTATAATTTTTGTAATTAAGATTTGTAAGTTTAACTTTTTAACTAGTCTAAGTTCTTTTAGTAAAGTTTCGATGTAATTTTTGCAAAGTTTCAAATTGATTGAAAAGTAAGAAACGGACAAGATCAAGGCCTCCATTGAATGTCTCGAAACGTCTTTTATTAGACCCAGCTTGCCCAGAAACTTTGCTTATTTATTCATGCTTTTATTGATTTCTCAAACTTCTCCCAGCAATGATCATTTAATCAAAGACTCAGTCTAGCTTCAGATATGGCTTATTACTTCAACAAACAACGCACAACTTTCAGAATGTTGATTACTGTCTGCATTTAAGTTGCCTTGAGCCCTTAGCCCAAAACCACGTGGTAGTTCCTCCTTCCTTGAAAGGTTGACGTTTTGTTCATTTTTTCATTTGCGGGGCCTTGGTCCGATTCATTATCAAGCGTGGGATCCAAAAACCATGTGGTAGTTCCTCCTTCCTTGAAAGGTTGACGTTTTGTTCATTTTTTCATTTGCGGGGCCCTGGTCCGATTCATTATCAAGCGTGGGATCCAAAAACCACGTGGTAGTTCCTCCTTTCTTGAAAGGCTGACATTTTGTTGATTTCTCATTTGCGGGGCCCTGGTCCGATTCATTATCAAGCATGGGATCCAAAAACCACGTGGTAGTTCCTCCTTTCTTGAAAGGCTGACATTTTGTTGATTTCTCATTTGCGGGGCCCTGGTCTGATTCATTATCAAGCGTGGGATCCAAAAACCACGTGGTAGTTCCTCCTTCCTTGAAAGGCTGACATGTTGTTGATTTTTCATGTGCGGGGCCCTGGTCCGATTCATTATCAAGTATGGGGATGTTTTCTTTCTATTTCATGATGTACATGTTTGTAAAATAAAATACGATGTTTTGTTTTCGTGTATTATAATTGAATATGGTATTTCAAACAATATTTTATTCGTTATAAATCTGTTTCGACTTTATTTTTAACAACAATTGTGTAACCGTATTCAATAAATTTAAACCTCTCCTTAATGAAAATGGAAATATCTAACTAAGTGGCACGTGATCGTGACTGACTGGCCGCTGGGCGGGACCGGAATGTGCGTCTTCTGAATCTTCTCATGCATTATGCATCTTAGCGGAGCCAGTTCTGTTTATGTGGACAACTCACTGATCTCTAGAAATCATCTGAAACCACAAGCCTGGAAAGACGCGTAACAAGTGCGACGCACTTTGCATAATGCAAATGCAGTTCATTCATGTACAAAACATGTTGCTGGCAAAATCGAATGCGTGCGGCATGCCTCACATGTTAAGTACTCAAGCATGGATTTGTAGAATTAATTGCAATTGATGATCAAGGAATTATTTGACTAATAACAACCACTTGATCTAACACAAGTGCTAGGAAAGTGCGTCATAATTCATAATTCGTTTGTAAAAAAATGATAAAACTCCACCGACTAGTTAGTGGAGAAATGCTGTGTGGGGCCGGCTTGTGGTAAGCCTAGTGTGTGGGTATCCCTTTGTGTTATGCAAACGCAGATCCACGGACGCCTTATCAGTGGTTTTAATGGATAAATAAACAATGCAATTAGTCGTGACTAGTCGACTAGTCGCGACTATTTATTGATAGTCGCCGCGACTATTGAATTTTGATAGTTGCCCAGGCCTAGCTATAATCAGGTCATCACCCATCACAACCTGCCAGACGGATCCTCTTCCATCTACTGTTTTCAAAAAATCCTTGAATGAACTTCTACGTGTCATCACTAAGACAATAAATCGCTCCCTGATAAGTGGCATATTTCCAACCAGCCTGAAGCACGCCTTCATTAAACCTCTTCTCAAGTCAGCTGTTTTTTACTGTTTTTAGTCTAACTTGTAAGTCTAACTTGTAACGTTTTTGTACCTTTCATTGAAATTTCGTGTTTTTTTAGGTAGGAATGTAAGATCCTTTTGTAAATTTCCTCTCCCTTTTATAGATTTTTAAAATTTGTAAAGGGCTATATAAGTGTCATTATTATTAATATTACTCTGTAATCGTACTCGAGTACTACTCGAGTACTTTTTTTAGTACTCATACTCGTACTTGTACTCGAATATCGAAGAACTCGTACACGAAATGACGGTACTCGTACTCGGGGAGTAAACTACTTGTACTCGACATGTCGAAAATGTACTCGATCATCAAAGTACTCGTACTCGAATAGCAGTACTTGGGGGAAAAAGACGGTACTCGTAGTAAATTCCATTCAACTCGGCTTTGCCTCGTTGAATGGAACATTCAATCTTTCAGCTCATGAAAATATTCTCACCATTGCACTCATAAACATTCAATATTTGTTTTATATAACCACCAAGTAGATCTTCATCATTGGATTGGAGGATAAAACTTTAGGAACAAGCAAAACTAACAAAATTGTATCATATCCAATACTTTTTTCAGTTTGTTTAAGGCTATCAAAGGTTAACTGTCAAATCATTTACAGTAATGATAATTAACACCGTAAGTCCTTAAAACAATGCCAACAAATCATCAAGGCAACTGTATTAACTTCAAAGGCAAATTGTGTACTGCTGTAACGCATGATATGGTCTATAAAGTGCGTGGCATGCACGTGGCGTGCAATAGATCAAAAGGGCTTGGTAAATGGAACCAAAAATGCAGGTAATGATGTAGGCCGTACAATGGTTCAATTAATGAATGCCACGTGACCTACGATCTTCCAATCAAATGACAAGATATTTAATTGGGTGTTATATAATATAGCTTGACTTACCATGGCCTTATTTTATCGATACCTTCAGTTTGAAATGGTTGATTGGCTTGTGGAGAAATCGAAGTTACCTGATTTTCCTCTGTGCACGTCCGGACAAACACATTTAACAGCTAGCCATGAGTGGGTTTGATATCAGTCTGACTGGGCCCGGGCCAATTATGCACAATGAAACACTTGCCATATGGTCACTTTGGAACTACAAGTACTCATACTCGGAACTACAATTACTCATACTCGTACTCAAGAGTACAAGTACTCGTACTCGGAGAACTGTACTTGTACTCCGAGGTACAGGTACTCGTATTCGTACTCGGCAACCTAAGTACTCGGTAGTACTCGGTAGTACTCGGTACTCTTTCTGACTTAAATCTAAATCATTTTTGACATTTTTTACTTGTTTTGACTTTTTGACTGACAACTTTTGATTTTTTTAAGGAAAAGGTACCTAGTAATGGTAATAAACATGTGCTTGGCAGGTCTTAAAGACTATGTTTAAGACTGGTTTGGAGTCTGGATGCTGACAACGATCCGAGCCGAAATCAGCATCCAGACTACAAACCAGTCTTAAACATAGTGTTTAAAACCGGCCAACACACATTTATTCCCTGATTATTATCATATGATGCATTGGGCCTATAGGTTATATTTCAGTCAGCTTTTACCAAGTCATACAATTGAAAAACTGTCATATTTACCTTGTTGATTTCTCCAAGCTCAGGTCGAATCCAGCCTAGATTGTCTAGAACACATTTGTCAAACTTTGCCTGGGTTTTGCGGCATCTGGTAAATATAAGCAAATACACAGGTAAATATTTACAAGCTCAACCTTTCTTCCCTACCACTATCAGATCCAGCGCTTGGAGGAGTCTACTTGCAAGTTCTTCCCCACGTAGCAATTACCAGTGCATTTCTCCCCTATAAATGTTTCATTTGTCAAGAATTCACACAAACTCGCGAATCGAAAAGTTGGATTTTTGACGTTACTAGATTGTTACTGAAAATAGCAATTTGGCAAGTTTGACAGTAAAAAGAGACCTGTTTGTTCTTAGGGAATGCTCCAACAATGCATGCTGAAACACGGGCCGGGCTGACCGGGCCAGGATAGGTAGCAATGGACCGATCCAGATTTAATCATTAGCCCCGCCCACCTTAGGCAAAAAAAAAAATACTATTGGGTCAGTCGATCGGCATGACTTTTTTTTTGTTCTGGCACCAACACATTTGAGGAACGATACATGTTGAAGAGGTCCCCAATGAAAGTGTTGTGGGATGATTTTTGAGACATGTTTTATCGTAAGAAGTTCGTAAGTTCAACCATAGAGCAAGGAACATAGTTCAACCACTGCCGTGTAGACGTTCTCCACGCTTCTCCATGGTTTATCAGGTAACTAGGCATGGGCATGGTTTATCAGGTAACTTGGCATTTTACTATACCGTGGTGTCCAATGACAAAAAAAATGCAGTATTCCCTAAAATCGCAGTATTATGTTAAGTGGGGTTTTACGTCATTAGCAGAAAAAAAAACAACTAACCACCAGGCACCATGTGGCGAGTTGTGGATAAGCCGCCAGTGCGGCATAAATCACGCAAATGCTTCACGCCGCAAATCTCCAACACTAAAGTGTTTTGGTTTCATTATCAATATCAGTCCATTTGTTCGTAAAAATATATTATTCATTGTAACAGATTATTAACACGTCAGGTGTGTTTACAAACACAAATGCCCCGCAACCGTGACTGTTCCCATGACATGACACCACTCTTTTAAAGGGAATGTACATCATTGGCTTTTGCTGTAATTTTCAGAAATGAACTATTTGAGAGGTTAGTATAAGGTAGATCAAATATTGTTACACTGACATTTTTGAAGTTATGTGTTCGAAAAGGTTGGAAAAACTAAAAAAAAAGAAAAAAAACAAGTAGTCTGGTTCCCTGACTCCAAAAAAGATAAAATGGATCAATTTATAGATGATGGAAAATTGTAAGGCAAGGGAACCAGTCTAGCTGGCCTGCACCCGTTCATGAACATGTAACCAATAGCAAACAAAATTTGGACTGAAAAAATGGTAAATTTGGAGCAGTAGTTGAAACATAGTTAGGTTTTTCCAACGCTGGTCGGCCGACCACCGTTGGAAATGTTTACAAAAATACCATTTTCCTGAAAATGACTTCACACCAGGTGCCATTATCTTACAAGATGCTTGAGACTGTCATTTACCAACATCCTAGTAAGGTATTTCGTAAAACTTGGTAGTTTTATTTTTCGATGTTTGCAAATGTTGTATATTCCCTTAAACATCAACTTCCATATACCTGGGTCACATGGAACATTCATTTACATCATTATTGTTTTATATGAATTTATCCCTATGATCTCAGAATAAATATAATGTATTTTTTTTGCTTTTCTGTTGGGAAGTCATTGTATGTGATTTAAAAGAGTGAGAGAATGTGAAGAGATTCTGTACAAACAAGCTGAATTAAAAAAACACAGCTGAATATAAAACAAAATTCAAGATCACATTTCATTTTTATAGTACTTAACAAGATTTCCATTGTTTTAGCCTCTGTGAACTTGACCTTTGACCTTTCGGCCCCAAATGCAATAGGCTTCTTAGGATTACCAAGAGCAATCCAAAAACCGAATTTGAAGTTCATATGTAAGGTATTTCTCTAGTTATCACGGTGACAAGATTTCTATTTTTTTAGCCACTGTGGACCTGACCATTGACCTTTCGGCCCCAAATGTAATAGGCTTCTTAGGATTACCAACAACAATCCAAACACCGAATTTGAAGTTCATAAGTAAGATATTTCTCAAGTTATCGCACTGACAAGATTTCTATTGTTTTCAGTTTGGCTTTTTAGTGTAAATTGTGGTCACGGCATCCGGAGAGTATGATTATCTCAAAATGCCTATGTGGACCTAAAGTAGCATTCTCTGAATCCTAATAACATCCGCTTTTGTATTTTGAAAAAAAGATTCAAGGCGAAAAATGCGATATTCTTCAGCGAGTCACATGTTAATAGCATAGTCAAAATTCACCAGATTCCCATTTCGGTACCAAGCGTATAGATGTTTATAGGAATGAGGACAAGTGTCCTTGATAAAACAATCAATAAAACAAACCACCAAACCCTTAATTCTCTCTGTTTTTTACCTTGGAAACTTTTGCTCATTGTAGTCTAGACAAGTCCAATAGTCAGTAAAAGATTCATTGCAAGATGTCTGGATCTGCTTGAAGAAGTTGAAGGCACACTCTGTCACCATTCGACCCTCCTTGAGACATTTTCTGGGATCTTTCTCTTCTTCCTTGCAAAGTATAAATTCCTGATGAATTGAAAAATAAAGATACATAACTTTTTTTAGAATAGACTCTTTCTCTTATGACGTCACATGCATTTACTGCAAATGAGGCAAGCCTATGAGAATGGGGGATGCTGTGACTGCTGCAGCAATCCCAATTTTTGGATTGCGGTGCTATACTAAAGACAAGTACCGCCTGCTTGGGGTTAAGCGCTGCGATTTTGAACGTCTAGCACAGGCCGTACTATTAACGGTGAGAAGCCCACCGTTTCATTCATCATACGTACATGTACCTTAGTGTCCTACCTGATCAACGAGTAGGCAGATGATATGGTACAATGAATTCTCTGCAAAAAACATGTGCAGAACTTTACTGTGTGCATTGCCAGAATGATTCAAACAATTTACGTACCGGTATGTCTGTGCTGGATCTTTCGTTCGTAAAGAAAAACTGTCTTCATTTCCACTTCAAAATAACAAATACTGTTTTTTATTTTTACTGAGTCAAATACATGTCCTTGTCGGCACCTCGCTGATTTTTTATGAAGAAAGTCAGGATAAACAAATGGAAAGTTGACGTATTTTACAGATGATCCTGTGGTTTTCCGACGAACAATTTTGTGCTGCTCAAAACGATTGATCGGATTGTCTGCAGTCAATGATGAATCGATGTCAAGTTTTTAAGATGAAACTTTTCGCAAAAAAAAAGCAAAACCATTAGCTATTGTTTAAGATCAAACTTTCTCTTGCACTTGAATTATAATTTTTTAATGTCCAAACAATCTTTCAAACACAAGATCAATCAACTTTATTGGTCCCCTAAAACTTATATTCTAGTCTATGAGAAAGAGCATGGATGGTGTGACGGCAGTTGCGCCTTGTTAATTCTTGCCGCTTGGTGGCGCTGTTCTGCGCGCCGTACATATCTTCATCTGATCGCATTTTGTGAATCGTTAGTGAATTTTGACTACAAACAATTGAGGTTCTCCCCCCAAAATTTGACCTAGGGACAGAGGTAATTTGATTACTATATATTTTATAGTTCATAGAATTATTGGAGTTTTTACGTGAATGATCTGAATCAAGTGAAAGGTGAATCAACTGAACTAGTGAAAACCAATGAAGTGACAGCTATTGAACGCCAGAAAAATATATCAAATAAATCAAACTTGGAACTTTTAATTGAACCTCAAGAGAACTTTAATTTTCTGATAACCGCCATAGTAAAAACTCTCCCAGGATCACCATGACAGATGGGAATACATTTCAGATGAAGAGTCAAATTGGAAGAGAAATTAAGCTAACGACGAAAGGGATGGAGTATCAGAGAGAACAAAAGCATCGAAGCTTCGAGCGGCTGTACCGAGAACTTAATGAGAAAATGCAACAGATATCTAGACAATCAATCAGGGAGATGGCAAGGCACTCCGTAACTTGTCTGACTTTCTGTTTCAGTGTGAGACAGCTATGGCCACTCTCAGCCAGCTGAAGATACTGAATGACCCCTCAGAGCACAAGAAGATTCTTTCGAAGCTTCCACGGCAGATACAAGAACGGTGGCTTCGTGTCATCGATCGTCAGATCCATGGCCATGAAAGCACTCGTGCAGACAGCACCGATGCTCAGCAAGGTGAATACCCACCGTTTACCGAGTTTTGCAAGTTCATAGCTCGAGAAGCTCGCATCGCCTGCAGCCCCGTCAACCAGAAATCTGACGACACCAAGAAGAAGGATATGAACCCCAAAAGACCCCCTAAACCCAGCCACGCCAGAAGCTTCACATCAAAAACAGTCGAGGTCTTTTCAAGTACTGTATTTCTCAAGTTATCGCGCTGACAAGATTTCTATTGTTTTAGTCACTGTGACCTTGACCTTTGAACTTTCAGCCCAAATGCCATTGGCTTCTTAGGATTATCAAGAACAATCCACAAACCAAATTTAAAGTTCATAGGCCTATATGTTAAGTATTTCTCAAGTTATCGCGCTGACAAGATTTCAATTGTTTAGCCACTGTGACCTTGACCCTTGACCTTTTGGCCCCAAATGCAATAGGTTTCTTAGGATTACCAAGAGCAATCCACAAACCAAATTTAAAGTTAACATGTGAAGTATTTCTCAAGTTACCTGCTGACAAGATTTCTGTTGTTTTAGCCACTGTGACCTTGACCCCTCGACTCCAAATGCAATAGGCTTCTTAGGATTACCAAGAACATCCACAAACCAAATTTGAAGTTCATTTGTTAAGTATTTCTCAAGTGATCGCACTGACAAGATTTTTCAGGACACACACACCCACCCACACACAATACTGGAATTTGTATCCTTGTGAAGACATTTCTTTGTTCTCGTGTACTAAAGTTTTCGAGTTGGAAAGTATAGTTTCAAAATGCTCCTATTTTAACTAGAATTCATAAATACCTCAGACAGTTTAGCTATTCCTATTGGTCGAGAGCCCGTCACGTGGCCGGTCTTAAACGGATGATAAAGATATGGCTAGCTGGTCTTAAACACTTTTCCAGTGTCACAATAAAATGTGGAATCCAGTGCCTCTTACCGTTTCATTGGTTGAACGTTCACAATCCTCACGTAGGCATGCGCAACACTACAAGCGAGTCAGAATTTTATAGTTCTAAATTCAAAACGCAACGCCCCAGGTGCGTTCTGCGTGACATCGCGCAGAACATGTTACGCGCGCGTCAAGCTCCATAAAAGGGTTGTTTACATCTTACTCGCCAGCTGAACACTCCATTATTTTGCTAGAGGGATGCTTCAAAAAGCATGAAGTGAACTTGTTGAACAAAATCGGGATTTTTTGAACGAATTATTTGATATTTTTTTACGGATAAGGTATTTATGAATGGGAATAAATATGTGCTCGGTCGGTATTTATCACTCTGTTTAATACCGCTTAGAGTCTGGGTGCTGATAATTACCCTCGCCTCCGGCTCGGGTAATTATCAGCACCCAGACTCTAAGCGGTATTAAACGAGTGATAAAAACCTCCGGAGCACACATTTATTCCCTTATTAATTTCCTGGGCTGAAATTCGGACTTAATATCCCTTACATAAAATCCTTTAATTTGCCACACATCAACCCACCTTGGAAATTCCCAGTTTTGGAGTAAAATCCATATATATTTCGTAACAAAATATATTTCCGTCCATACATTCCGTCAAGATCTCTGCGGTCATCTTCTCAAGGCCTCCTCACAACAACCACAGCCAGGACCAAGTCATACGGCTCCAGGGCGTTTTCTCATAATGCACCCGAGATGTGGAACGCCCTACCATCCTCACTTCGAGCAGTAGACACTCTCGACCGGTTCAAAACCAGCCTAAAATCCCACCTATTCCAACTAGCCTATCCACACACATTGTAGAACATTATGTTTTCAGTCAGCTTGTAACTTTGTATAAATTTGTATCTATGTTTATTGTTAAGCGCATTGAGATTTCTTTCGGTTATGTTATGCGCTCTATAAGAATGATTTTATTATATTATTATTAACAACGTTGTGGAGATGTATTCATCTTTAGAAATTGCTCTGTGGAGACGTGTACAATCTTTTGTTCCCTATTGTGCACATGTCTCCAGAGGGTACCATGTATCAGATCACACCCACCCACACATGGAAGGACAAGGCGGAAACAGTATGCCCCTTCGGCTTCGCAGCGGGGCATAAAAAGATATAACATCATCAACCCTCCTAGTGGGAAGTCAATTTTCACAGCAATATGAAACATGTATGTAAAACCCTTGAAAACCCTGCAGGTCAGTTTCAGGTTAGGCCTGTGCATCTGCGGGTAGTAAAGGAACTGGGTAACCGATGGAAAAAATATCCCAAGGCCAAAATTCAAATTTGGGATGTTGCTGTTTTTGAGTGTTCACCCTTTAGAAGCACACTAATAGAAAATTAGCCGTGTAAATTTTGTGTCGGAATTTAGATACACTAACATGTGAAAACGAACCTGGAAATTACTTGAAATATAGACGTCTGAAAGGGGGAATAATTTTCTATTGCTTAAAAGAGGGTGAGTGCTTCAAAAGCGTAAATAAACTACAAACACAGTCTAAATGTGAAAATAAAAACTTGACAAAGTTCTACAAGTTCGGGTACATGATCCAAGTGTGGTCTTTATTTACGGAGGTAGTCCAGTAAATTGGCCACATTTATGGGGCTAACTGTTTATCAGATAAACGGCAAATTTCCCTTTTCATCCAGATTGTGAGTTAACATTTATAGTGGGTCATTCCGTGTCAATTCAACACAATTTTGGACCCGACCCTCACAGATTGAAACGATATTTGGTGTGATGATTGGCCTATATGAGAAACCCCCAAAACTGATTTTTTTTTTGTAAATTGGCTCGTTACTTTTTGAGATTCGGGTCAACAAACTTTTGACTAATTAGCATGACATCCGAAATTTAAATACTTGTATCTCAAAATCTATAGCGCCTACAAAGCCAAGTCGTACATCATATTAAAGCTCTTTGAATGGCCTCCATTTCATAACATAAAACCAAAATCATAGCATGAAGCGCAGAAAAAATGCGCTGCATCGTGTTGAATTGACATGGAATGACCCTACTAAGACCTTAAACCTCAAACTTTATTTGTATCTCTGGTGGCTTAACCACTATTTCTGTCACCATTTTGAGGATAAAATCATAACTTAAAATCGGAAGTTTTTGTTGAAACCATCGGAAAGATTCCCAGATCTGGCCATCACTTATTTTCCCGGCGATCATGTACAATGTTTCTACGGGCTCGGTTCCTATAATTATAACTTAGGCAACAAAATCCACTTTTAAATTATTTGACGTACCAAACTAGTTGGTGACATTAAGAACATACAGGTACCGTATGTCATAGATAAAGGGCAGGGTTTCAAATTTTTGAGGGAAATTTGGGGGTAAAATGACGATGACAACGTTGACAAAACGCAACAGGAAAATAAAGATTGCGATCACCACACGACGTACTGTGAGCACGCAAGTCGCACTGCACCTCACCAACCGG